ACAGCGGTGCCCTGACAGCGAGGGAGGCAAGGGCAGAGGCCGGAAAATGAGGCAGCGCTGGGCCTTCCAGGGGCAAGAAGGGCCCCCGACACACACTGGCCAACCCCTTGTCCCGCCGGGTACCAAGGTGACAAGGGGGACTCTGCCAGGTGTAGGGTGCTTTGCCCCTTTCATAGGCCCTCCCCTGACGCTGGATGGGGGTAGATGCCTCCTCTGTGTTCTAGAGTTTCCTATGCATAGGACTTAAATGTGGGCGTTAGGAGCAACTCAAACGTATCCACATGGCATGTTTTTAACTAAAATATGGGTCACACCGTCTGTACCATCTAATTTTTCTGTGCTTGGAGATTGCCAATTCATTAACATGTTGGCTCAAGACATACCGGAGGATGGGAGCTATGGCACAGAAGCCCAATCAAATTCACTTCCAGCACAAAGGAGCTTTATATTTCCCATGGACATGTTAATTAATGTTTCACTGCGGCCTAGCTCATCCCCAAAATGGGTGCAACGTGTCCCTCCGGGGTTTGGGCTTAGCACTGCTCCGCAGCTGGGGGCTGTTGGTGTGCTTCGCTGGCGTGGCTTCCCCTCTGACAGCTTCTCTCATGCTTCTGGAGAGACCACGCTCATGAGTGGGCCCCTGGCTTCTCCCCCCGCCCCGGGCAGCAGTGCACCCTTTGACCACAGAGGTTCGTCTCTGCCTCACCGAGGCTTTGTGAGCTGGGCTCTCAGCCTGGCTCTGCTTGGCCCGGGGCGCTTGGAACGCAGCCGTGGCGTGAGCTAAGACTTGCATCTCCCTCTCCCCAGAGAGCGCCGCGGGTCTGCTCCTGGGGCCAGCGAGGCAGTGCGGGAGGGTAGGCAGTGGGGCGGAGCATGTTCGGTTTGTGTGCGTGCAGGGGGTGTGCTGCTGAGGGAAAAGGCTCGTGGCCCGCAGACGGCTCCAGGGCTTGGTGAGAAGAGGCCATCGTTGCTTCTGGGGTGCGTGGCCTGGACGGGCCATGGTCCGGCGGGCCTAAGAGCCCCTCGTTTCTTCCCTGGGGAGGCCCGTGGCTCCAGAGCGTCTGGACACCCTGGCTTTCGATTCTTTTCTCGTCTGACTCAGCGACCTAGAAGCGAGCTTTTCGGTTTTGGCCCTGGGCCTCTCGGCGTTCGCTGCAAAGCAGGCATTTTCAAAATTGTTGCTGTTTTAAGCCACGGAACTTTCTTCAGTGGCAGCCTTAGGCATCAAAGCAGGGTCCCCCAGCCTCGGCACTGTGGGCTTTGGGCTGATAACTCTTGTGCTTGGGGCTGTCCTGTGTGCTTTTGAAATGCTCAGGTGCATCCCTGGCCTCGACCCGCCAGAGGCTGGTACCGCTCCATTTGTCTCCGTGGTGACAACTAAAAATGCCTCCAGACGTGGCCCAGTGTCCCTTGGGGAACAACTTCCCCTCCAGCCAAGAGCCGCTGCATGGAAGTAAAGTGTAGGTAACTCACTCAGATGGCGGCCACCTCCCTGCCCTCCCTCCACCTGCCCCTCATGGCAGGCGGCCCGAGGCCCAGGCCGCAGCCCTCTGCCCGAGCCAGCCAGCGGACAGACGTGCCCTCCCGCAGTCCCCACGACAGACAGCGCTCCTGGCTCTGCTCCGCGTCCTTTCTCTCGCACACAGCACGTCCCTGAGACACTTCAGCAGGGACCGGCCGGTGCAGCCGGGTCCTGGGACAGGGCGGCCAGTGACAGCCCTGTGCAGGGGTTGTGTGCCCCACCATTCTTCAAAAATGATTGTTATCGATCTTTTTCCCAACATGACAAAATAAATGCTGGGTGAGGACAGCCTGGACACCCTGGAAAAGCACTAAAAGAGGAGACGTCACTTTAATTGCACTAGGCCATGTAGCAAGAACAAAAGCAAACCAGACCGGCTCTCGCTGTAGCCTAGTGATTGCTTGTATTTTTAGAGCCTGCTTTTCCACACAGACTGCTGGCCCCTGTCCCAGCGCAGCGCACCCAGCAGAGCTGCTATAACTGACCCCCCAGGGCTGGTACCAAGTGGGGAGTCACGGGATGACTTGGCAGGTGCCTTGCCGATGTCATCGCAAATGTCAGGCGGCGCCTTTGCTGCCCTGCACGTCCCTTGGAACCTGCTCCGAGCTGCCGTCTGTGCACCCCCTGAACCTGTTTATAATTTCTGCTTCAACAGTTTTCCCGGAGGCCAGGAATGACAGGTTTACTGCCCCTCCACCCTTCTGTCGCACGGAGTTTTTATCAATGATTGCTGGGAAATGACAGCTCCCACTCAAGGCACGATGCCGCTTTGAGCTAAAAAACTGAGGGAGGACTGCCCGCCTCTGCAAGGCACAGGGTTTGAAGTGACCGCACGATGCTGGCCCTTCCCGAGCACTTACTGCAGGAGCGTCGTCTTTCCACCCTCACGTCATTCCTACTGGGGGGGCATTTTATTATCCCTGCTGGACGGAGGAGGAGACTGAGGCACAGACGGGCGATGTAACCTGGACGGGCCCGCGTGCACCCTGGCCGCCGGGCTCTGGGCGGGTGCAGCACCTCTCCCTTACAGGCCAGGAGGCCCTCGTCTCTGCAGGGCGCGCTCAGCTGTGTCTTCAGATGCAGACGTGGCGGTGACAATAGGAAGTGAAAGGCAGGCGCATTGAAGTTTGAATCTCATGCCTGTTTCACATGCCACAAAGTAGGAGTCTACTTTTGATTTTTTTTTTTTTTTTTAATGTAACGCCTATTCTCAGCTTTCAGGCTGCGGCCAGGTGAGGCCCGCGGGCTCGGCCCCCGAACCGTGCCTTCGCTCTGTGGCTGTCAATCTCCATCCCTCAGTGTCGGAGGCGGGGGAGCAGGGCCCGAGCTGTCGCCCGGGGAGCCCTCAGCAGCCAGCAGCCCGGCCGCTCCCTGCCGTGTCTCTGGTGTGCCTGTGTCTGGGAAGGGCCACTGTGCGGGCAGAAGGCCGTGCGGACTGACCGGGGAAAGGGTTAGGATGCAATGAGGGTTGACCATGATCCAGACACGTCTACGGAGTTCTCATGTGGGCTAAGAGAAATGATTCCATTCATTCAGTCCATGGATGGACAGCTGCCTGCTGACCAGTGAAGGGTCATCTGAGGGGACATTGCACCCTGCTTGACAGTTCGCGTGGATGCACTGGGGTGGGGGGCGGGGGCGGGTTGGGGACTGACACAGGTCGCTCTCGGCCGGGCCTGCCTTTCCCCTGAAACGGAGCTGGGGCCGCTGCCCTGGTGGCACCAGACCAAGTAAACTGCCGGTGGCTGCGTGGCTTCCAAGGGAAGGCTTTGGCCTTGGAATTTAATACCGAGCTGGCCACCTGGTCCACGTCCCCAGCAGATGCCAGTGTGTCTGGCTGCTCCGCAGGGGCCCCGAGAGAATGTGGTACAAAACGGGCTCTCGCATACCTTGTCACCGTGCGGCGCTGAAGCGCTTCCCGAGCCCCCGGCCCCTGCCGTCCCGCGGCCTTTCTGGCTCCGGCTGCGCTTGGCGGCAGATGGCAGAGCCGTGGGGGTGGGGAGCCAGGGAGGGGACGTCTGGGGAAGGTGGCTGCCACTTCTCTGGCCTGAGTGTCCCAGGGTGAGCCGTCCCCTCTCTGCACTGCTCACTGAGCGGGTGCTTAGACCTCGGGGCCACTGATGGGTGAGTCAGATCCAAGGAGGCCGGTGGGCAGCGGACCGTTCCCATGAGGCACTGGAGCTCCTTGGGAGGCCAGTATCAACCCCACCCCCCAAACTTAGAGAAATCGGACCCATACCCGTGACAGGCCCTCCCTTGCTTGCAGAACTTTGGAGTCCTTTGCTTTGGGCTGGAATTCTCCACTGGCTGAGTTAGTGCTGCTTTATATTTGTTGATGAAAAGCTCTGGTTAATGGTGACTTATGTCTTTGGTGAATACATCCGAGAAGATGAATTCATTATGGCTTAATAAACGTGGTGTGCTTGCTCGGCACCAGCCTCCTCCAATCTACGGTCCCTGGGGAGAAAGTTCTGAAAGGAGAGGTGTGTCAGGAGGAGGGAAACTGCTGACGGGCGCAGCCTCTCCATTACACCTGGAGACCAGGAGGCCCATGCAGGTCGGAGCCCTGCCCGGAGCCACGCGCCGCCCGCGTCGCTGAGCTGGTGCGGGAACCCGGCTCCTCGAACACAGCCTCAGCTCCTTCCCCTGGCAGCCCGGTGCCTCCGTGGCCCCTCGGTGGTCCCCTCCTCTGTGGAGTCAGTTTTGCCAGATCGAGTCCTGGCGTCCTGAGCTCCAGACAGACTGGGCCGTGGTCGCCTGACGGGGCCGTCGGTGTCTGGAGCCTGGGAGCCCCTGGGGCAGGCGTGCTCCTCCTGGGCTTTTCCGTCCAAATGCCATGCCCACGGGCAAGCCACCCGCCTTTTTAAAAAATTTTATTTATCCATTTTGAGAGAGGGGAAGGGAGGTAGAAGGAGAGAGAAGCATCAATGTGGGAGAGAGATACTGATTGGTTGCCTCTTGTACACACCCTGACCAGCCACCCAACTCACAACCTGGGCACATACGTGCCCTGCTGGGATCTGGCTGGTGACCTTTTGCTTTGCAGGATGATACTCAACCCCCGAGTCTCACCAGTCTGGGCTGCCCCCCACTTTTTTGACACACCATTTGTGTTGTCCTGTAGGCTGGAACTAAGAAAATGAGCCTGTCCCTAAGAATTCGTAAAAAAGAAAAGGAAGGAGAGGGAATAGAGGGACATGAGCCGCAAAGATCAACAGGGGACTGGGTTTCAAGGCTTTCTGGAGCTGAGGGGGGCGTCCCATGCTACCCCCAGGGCCTCACAGCGGTCCCTCAGGTGGGCAGGCCATGTGCCTGTTGCCGTGCAGGGGAGGAAACTGAGGATCAGAGGTATTTGGTGACTTGGTGAAGGCCCAGCTGGCGTGGGGCTGATCCAGGTTCAAGCCCAGGTCCCCGTGGCTCTCAAGCCCGCACCTCCTCCTTGGCCCCGGCTGACCCGTGTCCGCCTTCCCTCCTGCAGACACATAGAGAACTGGCGCGGCCTGCACACTCTCAACGCCGTGGACATGGAGCTCTACACTGGCCTGCAGAAGCTGTGAGTGCCGGGTCCTGGGAGGGGCCTTAGAGGGTGGGGGCCCTGCCCGGCTGCCTTCCTGGGTGGGGTGGGGATGCTGCAGGCCGCTGTCTGCACTTGCTGGGGGTCCCTCTGTCAGCAGAGGGGGCACCGCCCTCTCAGGGAATGTCAGGCTGCAGAGGCCAGCCAGCCTTCCTGCCCCCACGGTTCACCTGGGCCTGGGGAGGCGAGGCGCTTGCCCAGAACCTCAGCCTGCAGTTCCGGTTTCAGGGTAGGACCTGAGCCCAGGCTGCCCAGGCTAGCGCTCTCTGCTTGGCCCTCTGCCTGGTGGAGTGCGAACTCCCAGCCACCACCCCCTTTGGACTTCAGCGGTGGCGGGCAGGGGAGGGGGACAGGGGCGGGGGGGTGGGGATTTGGGGTGGGGGCAGGAGGCACCAAGGGGGAGCCGTGTTCTCACACACCTGCTCATCTGGGTGCGGACAGCTGCCAGCACTGCCCTGTCCCATCCCAAACTGTCCCCCAGCCCCACGGGGTGTGAGCCCAGACACCCCTCGCCGGGCTCCCCCAGGTGGACGGCCCGGCGGAGCTGATGATGAAGGAACGAGCTCGGTTCGCAAGGGCGGCCGCAGGTCCAGTCTTGGCCTGATGTCCTCTCACCCTCAGCCCAGAGCGGGTGTCCCTCTGCCCCTTCAGGGCTGCTGACCCCCTGGTTCTCTCTCCAGGACCATCAAGAACTCAGGACTTAGGAGCATCCAGCCCAGAGCCTTTGCCAAGAACCCCCACTTGCGCTACATGTGAGTAGCGTTGGCGTCTGGGCGGCATCCGGAAGGCTGGGAGCGCGTGGTAGGGGGAGGGTCCTGGCAGGGAAGCTGTGCGCCTGGGGCAAGCCCCCCGGCCTCTCGGGGCCTCTGACTTTGCCTCTTAAAATGAGAGCTTTGGAGTTGATGTTCTCTAAGGTTCCTGTCAGAAAGAGAAGCTTAAGATTATCGGGAGGGGGTCTGGACTCCCAAGTTTGTTCATTTTTCATGAACAACTTGCAGTTTTACGGACACGCTCCTGGAGGAGGTGAGTATGACACCCCTGAGACCGTCCGTGGGTCCGCGGTACGGGTGCCGGGTGGGGAGGGTTACAGGACGGGAAGCGGGGCCGGGCCGGATGCCGTGTCTACACAGGTTCTGCGCTCCGTGGAGGAGAGCCCGGAGCAGTGGGGACGCCTGCATGTAAGGCCACACAGCTTTGTTTGGGACACACTGCCAGTCGCGTGGCCAGGTGGGAGGGCCGTCTGTGTCCCCCTCCCCCCACCGACCGCCCTGTCTGATGGCGGAGGGGCTCTGGCTGGGCCTGTGGGGGAGAATCCCATGAACCTGGTGCTTCCTGGCCACACCTGGCTCGGGGCTGAGGACTGGGACTCGGTGGGAGGACCCCCTTCCCTGGGGTGAAAGGGGTCCGAGGGCGATGGGGGGAAGGGCGAGCTGACCGTGCCCACGGGGCGCCTGCTGCCTGGCCCACTCTCCTGTGAGGACAGCGGCCACCATGGGCATCCACGGGGACATTCCCCAAAAAGCAGAGATGCCACAGGATCTTGGTGGGGGGCTTTTGTGTTTGGGGAGGAAATGGAGGAATGACTTTCAGATGCGTCCTTCCTGTGGGCACGTGAGAGTTGCACGGTGGAGACATCTCGCGTCCCCTAACGAAGGGGCAGCGGGCTGGGCGGAGCCTCCCCGGCAGCGGCAGAGCGTCTGAGGGGCTCGCCGGGGAGTGGTGGGCGTGAGGGTCCGGGCTCGTCCCTGGGCCCCTGTGTTTTCCCAAGCCCCTAGCATGTGTTCAGTAAATACACACATGCGCACGCACACACACACGTGTGTTTATCAGTAATGGGCACCCCTGCTTTGTGCTGAGCTTTCTTTCCTCCCTCTAGAGATAGTGCGCCACGCGGCCTTTGCTCTCGGCCCACATGCCTGCGGTGGGGGGCCAAGAACTCCCTTTGACCTGGCTCACCGAGCCGTGGCCCCTGCCCTCCTGGAGCCTCTATGGGGGGACCGTCCCGATGATGCACATGCTGTGCAGTGGGAGGCGTGGCCGCAGCCAGACTCAGGATGCTGGGCCGTCCTGGCACCGGACGGGCAGGTGTTTAGTTTATCAGGGAACTGAGGGTCAATGTAAAATATCGCAGGAGAAGAAGTTTTTGACCTCCGAGAAGTCTCCCTTTTCATACGAGGTCATACAAGGGTCCCAGAGCTACGCCGAGGGCCGCGCTCGGGGCTCGCTGCATGGGGGCGGTGCCGGCGCGCTCCTGCCCCGGGGCCTTCGAGGACATTGTGTCACCTGCAGCTCTCGGGGTCACCTTTCTAGGGCTGGCCCAGAAGAGAGGGCAGGGCCGCATCCTGGGTGTCAGGTGTCTGTGAAGTGGGTCGCACTGGAATGTCTTTGACTTACCCTTGAGGTCCGAGATGAAGGTGGTGACCCCCCGCTGTGGGGCATGATCTGCTGTCAGCTGGGTGGTGCGTGCCAGGCTGCCGGGCTTCGCGAGGTTCCCCGAGCTTTGGGGTCAAGGTGTCTGGCTGCACTAGGCTCTGATGGTGCCCGGAAGCCTGCCTGTGACATTGGGCCCTGTTTTCTGCTGGACATGGGGGCCAGTACCTGCCCAGGTACTTGTGTGGGTTGCGGGAGGAGCAAGGGCGAGAAGGAGGGGTGACTGCTGTTCACCACGGTTCGGGCCTGGCTGCACGTTGGCCGTGAACTGGGTGCTCAGCTTGGTGTGGAAGGTCAGCACGTGGTCCAGCGGCTCCAGTAGGAGTGGGGTGAGGGAGGGTCCTGCAGAGGCGCCCTGGGCTCACAGGGAGTTGAGGGAGCGAGGAACAGGCGTGGCTCCCTGGCTGTGTTTTCTCAGGAACCTCCCCCAGCTGTGAGGACACACCCAAGTCCCAGCTGCCTGGGGACGTGTTCTCCTGGCAAGTGGGCTGGGTTTCTCTGCTCCCTCACAGCACCTTCTATTTCTGTCCCCTAAAAGCACTTACAAGTCTTCGGGCCCCAGCTGAGCAATCACAAGATGATCACTTACTCCAGCACTAATTGCTAAGCCTTGACTTGGCGGCTTTTTCTTTCTTTCTTTCTTCTTTTCTTTGGGCGGGGGGGGCGGTGATGGCTGAAAAGTCTTCTCTGCACAGAATAAGAAGCGGGAAGTGAAGCCATGGCCGCTGCCCGGCTCTCGTGTTACCCAGAGTGCTCCGACCCGCGTGCCGCCCCCTGCCCCGGGCCGCTGTCTCGTCAGTGTCGCCCTTCCTTGGCGTGACTGTGAACCTGCGAGGTGCCTCTGTCCGCCACGGAGGAGGCTGGGGGCCAGGACAGCTGGGCCCTGCGTCCAGCTTTGTGAGTGGCTGACCGTCGCCTCGGGACTCTTTCCGGTTTTTTTTTTTATATGTGAAAAAGAGAAATATTGGTTCATATACATCAAGAGGAATCTTTTTTTTTTTTTTTTGAGAGACTGGAATGTTCTTGACCCTTCGGTCCTCTCCCAGATCAGATCTTAAAAATTTTGGATTAAGAATTCTTAAGGATAAAGATTTTCCAAACTGATAGTTGAAAGAGCGGGTTGCTAATCTGTCAAATGGACATAATAATAATGCCTATTTTAGGGGCAGGGTGTGGTCAGGATTGAATAATAGGAGGCCCCGTAAACAGTCAGAGTTCAGACATGGCAGTTGCTAATAACAATAGTAATTACTGTCACTATTGGTGGTGGTGATAATAGAGTCTGAGAGGAGGGATGAGGCAGCCGCCAGTCTGCTCTGGAAAAGTTGGGTCTCTGTCCTACACGGCCGCCCGCCGCTCTGGGGCCTGGAACACCCATGTCTGCAGCCTTTGGTGTCTTCCTTGAGTGCGGACAGTAAACCCTGGTCGAATCTCTCCTCTGTTTCCTTGGTTCCTTGCTCTAGACTCTGTGTACCCCATTCCAATGCAGTTCGTTTCAGCGAGCTTATCGCTTCCTTTTTGGGGTCTCTTTTCTTGGGTGTCTCATACCCTGGCTGGGCCTCCAAGGTCCGGAGTCGCCGTAGGTAATGCCGATGAACCGCACGCAAATGCTGGTACTGTCTTTCATCTGTTAGAGCGCTTCATGGCCCCAAAGCGCTGTCTCTGACATCGCCTGCTTTCCCCCTGGACCCTCCTGGGTGCAGCACGAGCAGCCTCAGCCGTGAGCAGCAGCAGCAGCAGCAGCAGCAGCAGCAGCAGCAGCAGCAGAGCGCCGCGGGCCCTTGGAGTACCACTCCGGGAGGCTGTCTGAGATGATTTTTTAAAAACTTATTAGGATGTTTAGAAGACTGTGCTAAAAAAAGAGCTGGCATCAGGAGAGGGGAAGGAAAGGCTCACAGGGGTCAAGAATGTACTAAGTACGAAAGACTGCTCTTACAAGTGCGACCTCACTCCTCACAATGGCCAAAGCTCGGGCTCTGCTGTGCCCATTTCATAGGCAAGAACACTGAGGCTTGGAAGTTAAAGCTGAGTTCCCTCACAGCCACATAGCTGTTCGTGGGATGGCCAGGACCTGGCCCGGGTCCCTCTGACTCTGGATTCCATGTACTTTTCTGTACACTTCAGGCAGGTTTGTCTCTGGTTTTTACAGTAAGAGCTTTTCATGAAAGGGTTGGTGGTCCGTACACTTTTATGAGAGGGAGGCGGGGGCATGGGTTCTTGCTGCCCTGGGGGTTTGGCACCAGCCACCCTCAGACACTTCTGTCGAGAAAGCTGTGTAGTTCTTACTCCTATTCAGGTCAAACGCTGTAACGACAGTTACATTACAACCTGAATATCTTTATTACATTATAAAGGTTTCTTAGCATTAGCCTATGGCCTACTTATTTCCAAGAATATGTAATGGAAGGTTCCAGCAGCCAAAATAATTTACTTAATCCCTTAGAGTTGTTGCAGTGGGATCTCCCTCGTCTTCAGTTTCTTACTTTCCCCCCAAAGCTCTGGATGCCTTGTTAAGTTACTCTTCTCTGTCTCGAGCAGACACGCACCCAACCTTCCGCCGAGAGCGCTGGCCCTGCGCTGACCTGTGCGGGCGTGGGCTGAGCGAGGAGGGAATGGAGACTGTCCTGCTTTCAGCATAACTGTGTTGGCCGGTGACGTTCCCAAGGAGAGCGTCCGTGGCACTGGGGCACTGGGCGGGTGGGACGGGGGATGTGGCTGGAGTCCCCGCCCTTTCAGGACGCTGCTGAGGAGGCAGTAGTTTCTCCTGGGATTACTGGCAGGGAAACACAGTGAGACTGATTTATTGTGTTGCAAATCACTCAATGATTTTTCTCCTTGAAATACACCGCCCCCCATTCTGGACCCCAAAACAGTGTGTAGCTATTGTATGCGTAGGTGTTTCCTCTCCGCCTGCCCCTTGCCTCTGTGCTGGGCCTTTCCTCTGAGTCCCAGGGGACTGGTAACTGGCACACTTGTCCTCTCGCTGCTTCCCCACGTGTGCCCTTTGTCTGCCCTGTGCAGAGGACTAAGTCGTCGAACATCGTATATCTAATGCCCAGGAGTGTGGGCTTTGGAGAGGGAAAGGCCAGGGTTCAAATCCTAGATCTTACGTTAAGCTGCCGTCTTGACATGCCCGCTTGGCTCCCTCTCTGTCTCCGGCCCTGGCTGTCTTTGGCCCCGGTCCCAGGCAGGACCCTGTCTGCATCTGGCAGACCTTATTGCAAAATCCAGGAGAGAACGGATGTGCTCCGGGTTAGATGACCTCTGAGGCGGCTGCCCTGACATCCCAGGATTTTGTGCCGATGGCGGCAGCTCGGCACCT